CCTAGGAAACCCTATGGGGCAGTTCTACTCTGTCAGATGGGGTCAATATGAGTCAGAATTGACTCAACAGCACCTAATAACAACATCAATATTTAAAAAAAGAAATCCTAAGTCCATACAGGGCATATCCGGCTCTGCTCTTGGCTACCTCTTAAACCACATTTTCTACTACCCTTGACTCTACTCATTCTATTCTAGCCATTCTGGTCTTCCTGCCGTTCCTCAAACAGACTGCGCATGTTGTTACCACAGGGCCTTTTCACATGCTATTCCCTCTCCCTGGAATCCTCTTCTTTTAGACACGTGCATCTCTATTCAATTATCAGCTCCTTCTCCTGATCACCTTATCTAAAATTGTGTCTCTCATAAATAAAGGAGAGTAATATCCCATTATATATAATGCATACTTTTCCTTCATAACATTTATCACTACACAATATAATATGTATTTGTATTTCTTGTTTATTAATTATCTTTCATTCTAGAATGTAAGCACCAAAAGGACAGGTTCTTTGATACGTTCTCTGTCGTTCTCCTAGACAATAGAATGGAGCCTGGTCCATAGAAGGTACTCAGTAAATATTTGTTGAATGAATGAATCACTAAACATGCCCTCTGTTCCTTTATCTTTCCTGTTGAATCCCATCGTAATCATCACAGAATAGAACCTGAGAAATGCTAACCAGGTTTGATTATCCTATGTAGGCTGCTACTTCTGATGTGATAGTCACTTCTATTTTTAAGTAATAACAAAACTGAATAGAATTTCAGAAAATGGGTGTGTTAAATATCCTGAAATATTTCTCCAGAAGAATCTTATGAGTTGAATCTGGTTCAGAATATTTGCTCTCTGCTTTGGGTGATAATTAAAACTCCTCATTGCTCTCACAACTAGCATTCTAAGCCAATTTTACAGCTAGTTGATCAAAAGCTCACACAGAAAGGTCAACATCTTTAGGTCTCCACTACTTCAAGCATACTGTAAAACCATTGACACAGACCCTCCTTCACTGGCAGACCTCCATATGTCAGGCATATTACCAGTCCAGTTAAATCTCATCATCATTAACCCAGGGCAGAGGAGGTGTGGGAGGAGACCAAAGAAGCCTGTTTTCTGCCTCCTGTGGATGCTGCACTTCAATGTTACTTTTTTTGTTGCTTTTTAGTGCTTATTTATGTATGTGTTTCTTTAAGTCCCCTGACTTATCATCAGAAGCAAGGGTCCCAGTCTGGGTTGTATATCAATAAACAGTACTTTATTAAAGATATATATACCCCTTGCTTATTATGGAGCCATGGTGGCTCAGTGGTTAAGCTTTTGACTGCTTATCAAAAGGTCAGCAGTTCAAATCCACCAGCTACTCCTTGGAAACCCAATGGGGCAGTTCTACTCTGTCCTATAGGGTTGCTATGAGTCTGAAAGGACTCAACGGCGATGGGTGTTTGGTTTTGCTTGTTATTGCTATCTAATATAACATCTTCTACTTAAGACAGTATTGCATTGCTAAAAAGAAATCTGGACTAGAGT